TGAGTTGAAGGCAGATGCTTAACTGACTGAGCCACCCAGACATGCCACTGTTTTTGTTTTAATTGAAGTAGAGTTGACATACAATACTACAGAACTTCAGGTGTACAACGTAGTGATTCGACAATTCTGTACATTACAAAATGCTCCCCGCCCTATGTGTAGTTGCCATCTCAGCTGCTGTTTTTTTTTTTAATGTCTTGCTGAGTACTTTTTATCTATCTATCTATCTATCTATCTATCTATCTATCTATCTATCTATCATCTACCTATCTATCATCTGTCATCTATCTACCTATCTATCTATCTAAAGTGGGCTCTATACCCAACATGGGGCTTGAACTCATAACCCCGAGGACAAGAGTCACATGCTCTACCTACTGAAGCAGCCAGGTTCCCCTCAACTGTTGTTTTTTGTTTGGTTTTCTTTCTTTCTCTCTCTCTCTTTCTTTCCTTCTTTCTTTTTAAGATTTTATTTCTTTATTTGACAGAGAGAGACACAGCGAGAGAGGGAACACAAGCAGGAGGAGTGGGAGAGGGAGAAGCAGGCTGCCCGCGGAGCAGGGAGCCCGATGCGGGGCTCGATCCCAGGACCCAGGGATCATGACCTGAGCCGAAGGCAGATGCTTAACCGACTGAGCCACCCAGGCGCCCCCTTGTTTGGTTTTCTTTTTGCTGTTAGCAAACAAGTCCCTTTCTCCTAGGAGCACACTGAGTTTTCTTTAGGAAACCACCCCTCCCCAACTCTCAGGGCTTATGGTTTGGGTGAGCAAGATCCCTACCCTCTGTTTTCCTGATAAGGCACAAAACCCAGTCCCTGCCAGTGTATGGCATCCTCCACACCCAACGCGGTTGGCTCAGGGAAAACCATGTGACTCCGATGGGGCATTTGCTCCCAGGTGAAGTCACCCAGTCCCCAGTCAAAGCCCCATCTATACCCTGATGGCTTGACTTCTGTCTGAAACTCCTTCCTCTCCCCAGCCTCTCTGACATCTCCCCTAGTACTTTGACTATTGGGCACCTTAAATGTCCCCTATGTCCAAAACAGAACCGTGACTCTTGAGCCCTCCCCGACGTGCTCCTGGCTGAGTCTTCCCCAGCTCAGGAAACTCCATCTCAGAAGTTTTTACTGATACCTCCCTTCCCCCAGGCCCCACCTCCAGCCCATCAATTTCTGTGAATCCAGCCATTTCTCACCACCACCACTCCCATGGTCCCAGCCACCGCCACCTCACACCTGACACCTCAGCATCCTCCCAATGGGTCTCCCAGCCTCTGCTCCTGCACCTTGTGCTGGTCATTTGCCTGTTTGTCCCCAGATCCATTCCCCAGTCTTCCCCAGTGCTCCGCCTTCCAGGGAACTGTACTTCCCAGACTCCTTTGCCAGTTGGTTTTGGGGTATATTCAGCTAAAAGAAGTCAGCAGCGGAAGACTGGAGGGTGGAGGGAGGGAAGAAGCCGAAGATATTTTCTCTCTCATGCTCAGCCTGCGGCTCTGGGTCTACCTCTGTGGAGGACAGCCCCCTCTGTGGTTGGGTGCCTGCAGGGAGATCGTGGCCTCTACGCAGTGGAATACTATTTCCTTCCTTTATCCCTCTGGCCCAACGGTGGTAGCAGCTTCCTACCGTTGCTAATCTTTGGATTGCCTCACTATCCCCTTTGATAGTTCAGTTTCTCTCCTCTATAAAATTTTCCTTGTCTGGAATCCCGAGGGTGATTTCAGCTTTGCTGACTGGATTTTTTTTTTTAAATGTCCTTTATTTAAATTCAATTAATTAACATATAGTGTATTATTAATTTCAGAGGTAGAATTCAGTGATTCATCGTTTGCATATAACACCCAGTGCTATTACATCACGTGCCCTCCTTCATGCCCATCATCCAGTTACCCCATCACCCCACCCACCTCCCCACTGACTGGATCTTGATTGACACACTCTCCAGTCCACTCTCTACACAGCAGCTGAAGTGGTCTAAAAACAAATCCCATCATGTCATGACCCTGCTGTCACCCCTCTAAGAGCTTCCCATCATCAGATTAGACTCTCAGCTCCTTGGTGCCCAGGTGGCCTTCTCTCCACCTCTCTGACCTCACACTCCTTGCTGACCATACTTCCAACCATAGCCGTCATCTTGCTGGTCCTCCAACATGTCAAACTGGTTTCCACTTCAAGATCTTCTCATGTGCTGTTTCCTCTGTCAGAACACACTTCCCTTGGATCTGTCCAGGACTTGGTCCCTCACCTAAGTCTGGGCACTGCTTGAGAGAGGTCTTTGGTGACCATTTTTCCTAAAATCCCCCCGCCTCATCACTAATTCTTTACCCTGCCTTCTTTTTCTTCCTGGCACTTTTCCTACTCGATATATTTCAGATCTCTGCACATGCTTGTCAGAGCCTGTTGTCCTAGCCTGTAAGCTCCATGAGACCCGGGATTTTGTCTTTGTCTGGGCCCCTAGAACCCACCCCAGGCGCATGATCAGCAATGTACAGAACTAGGTGGTAGCCACAACAGCATGAGCTTTCTGAGTTGACTCATTTCCTGCTGGAATTTGAAGAGCCTGGTCCAATTCTCCATTATTCACGTGAGAAAACTGGTGCCCAGAGAAGTAAGGAATGTGTCCCAGATCACACAGCTGAATTGTGCCTGGAACCCAGGTCTACACAGGCACTGCTTCCTGTGCTTGGCCACAGCTTAAACGTGGGCCTTTGCCTCTAGGAGGTGAAGCTGGATTTTTGAGGTCTTAGTTCAGAATAAGAGGAAGTCCAATGCCTTCCCTTCTCCTCTTCTCTCTGCCCAGCTGTGCCTGCACGCCAGGGGCAGTGCCTGAGCCACCTGGGCCTGAGGAAGGCTCAGCAGGGCCAAGTGGGAATAGCAAATGAGAAAAGTGGACTGGGGGAAGGCGATAGGCAGGGATGGAGATGATAACATCACCGAGAGTGCACGCTCCCTCCAAAATAGTCCAACTAAATTAAAAATGGAGGGATAATGGAACACTTTGTAGCTTATCTTTTTTGGGTTTTTGTTTGGTTTGGTGTCTTGTTTTGTCTTAATTTGCACAAAGAAATACAGGAAGGATAAAGCAGAAACTACAGCAAATGGGTGGGAATGGAGTGAAAGGCGCTTCTGAGCACACATTTCTGTCCAAAAGACTGGACTTTTTGGAACTATGTCAGTGTTCTACGTATTGAAACAATCAACCAACGAAGATGAGGAAAACCCCCTAAAAGTTAATTATCAACAGAAACAAATGAACCTCCCTATACTTCAAATGTATAACAACCATGCTGAAGAGAAATAAATAGCTCAACCAAGTGATATTTGAACCTTTGTCCAAACTGCTCCTTTGACCATTGACCCTCAGCCTAAAAGATAAGTCTTGAAAAAGATTCAGTACATCTTGAGCTCAACTTACAAAGTTTGGTTTTCACAATGGTATGGGTGTAGCAACTCTGAAACTCCTTTGTGTGTGGGATGAAGCAGTAAGTAAATATATTAAGGTTGATGGAAACCAAGGTTCTTCCCGTTAGAGAAAGGAGGCATTTTAACTATACATTTGGGGGAGAATGGAAGAACCCTGTGGTGTTGGATTGGAATTGGAGAAATAGGCATGGATAGATGTGTTCATTTATTTACATATACATATTTCCTGGCTCTCTTTGCTATAAGGACTTAAAAACAATGGTACCCCGGTACCAAGGAGCACACCTACTGCCCAAATCTTGGATGTTAAATACCATTTCCTGCTCTAGGGAACCAGGGCTCCTTGGAGAAATGGCTGATTCCAGGTTTGCACGAGATGAGCTTGGAACATTTTGTGATGCCAGAAAGGAAAGAAGTGCTCAAAAAATGATGTAGATCTGCGAGTTGGCTTGAAAGACCTTCTGCTGGCAAAATCTGGGACATTTTGAAGATCAGAATAATTACAGTAATGGATTATAACCCATCACATAAGATAAGAATCTACAAGTCCATACGGATAATAAAGAAAGGGAACTAGTGATTAATAAATATAAAAGAAATGAGAGAATTAGGTAACTATCGTTTGCAACCATCTTAGCAAAAATTGATTTAAGTCGTTGATTTCAGGTAAAAATCATCAATGGATATTAAAGCTAGTGGGTAAAAGTCCAGGACGGATGGGACGCTTACACCTCAAGATATCTTCCCACAGTTCACTGATTAATTACAAACAGGAAAAATGGTGACTTTCAGGTGGAGACCCCTGGTGGACACAAGAGATTGAAATTAACATCACCGAGAATGAGACCTATCCCTGTGGATATAATGCACGGAGGACACATCACGTAGGTCATATTCCTGCCCAAACTGCAATGCCTGAAGCTGATCATGACACAGCATCAGACAAACCCAAATCGAGATATTCTGTACAACAACTGGCCCGTCCCCTCCCGTATCAAGAATGTCAAAGTTATGAAGGGAAAAGAAGGGCCGAGGAATGGTTGCAGACTGAAGGAGACACATGAGGCATGACAACTAAATGCAATGTGTGACCCTGGACCGGACCCAGACCTGCTCTCTAGAACCCGCACCCCCATTTGGGGACAGGGTTACCTAGGGGGGGTGGCTGGCATGCCTGTCATGATTATAGAACAGTACCCCTTGGCTATATGCTGAACTTATTAATAATAGTCACATATAAGATACATGTGGATGTTTGGTGCCGAGACATGAGAAATGCTTGATTTGCCGGGCTGTGTCTGGGCTAAAAGGCAGAATCACTACATGGGTCCCCAAATGTTGAGAGTCCCCTTTGAAGGCTCAATGATCAGGAGGCCAGGTGTTGCAGACATGGATGTAGATCGACGGTGTGTGTGTGTGTGTGTGTGTGTGTGTGTGTGTCCCACATCACCCTTGTGAGTGCTCACTCCTTAGAGCAGGGCTGGGGCTGCTGTGTGGTGTGGCGGGTCCCCGACGAGAGAGAAGGAGGCCCACGCTTAGTGCAGCTGCAGCACAGACAAGCGGAGGCCAGGGAGTGAGTGGATACAATATTTAATAAACTTGCTATATATGCTTGAAGTTCAGCCTGCCCTGGTACTCACACCTCTTGGGCAGATGGTCTGGGTCAGGGTGGACAGCCCGGGTGGATGTGGGACTCCACCCACTCTCAGCCTGTGCTCCTCTAACTTGAACGGCGGCTGTATCTGTCTGTGCCCCAGTGATAATGGCAGTCCATCATGCCCGTCACCGTAGGAGGTGAGACTCTGGGGCCGTGGCCATGCCAGGGCTAGCAAAGATTGGAGCGGGGGGGATCATTGCCTGGGACACAAGAGCGAGATTTGGGGGCACCAGGGATGGGCAGGAAGGTTAAGGCTGATGGTCTAGCTGCCAGCAAGCCCCAGGGGTGGGGGTAGGCAGACAGCTCAGAGGTGAACCTCCAGCAGGTAGCACAGGCGACGCTGGTTCTCCTGGTACATGAGATACTTGCTCTGGGAGAATTGGGAGCTGCAGAACTCTGCACAGAGCACAGGCCGGCCCTGGGGCACCGCCACTCGCTGGCCATCCAGCTCCAGCTCAGTGTCCTGGGTTGGATCTGCAGGGCACAGCAAGGGCCATGGGTGAATCAAGGGTCACTGATCCTTGGCTTTACCAATAAGTTCTGCCACCCATACTGTCCACTTCTGCCACGGGGAACACCTGCTCATTCCCAGCTTGCAATCTCCAAACCACCGCACAGGCTGGGCCTTCTGCCTGGAATATCCATCCCATTTCTCTGCCTGGGAAATGCCTACTTATCTTTTAATGCTCAGTCATTGACACCTTTTCTTTGAAGCCCTCCTGGATGCCCAGGAGTGATGTTGAACCAGGAAATGTTTGTCGAACGACAAAGTAAATGACTAGTAAGGAGGGCTGCTTCTCTCTGTCCCTCTCGACAGCCCCTTCCCTGCCCACCTCCTCCCTGAAAGCATCCTGGTCCCCTAGCTCAGCCCCAGGCCTTTATCCTCAGGCCTGTCCAGCTTTTCGGGACTCACCAGGCTCTGTGTGGCCTCGGGCAATGACACTGTCGGAGCCAGAGGTTGGCTGTTTCAAGCTGCGCTCATCGATGGTGATGTGGTGCTCTCTGCCCAGTGCCACCTCCCCCAGGAACATATAGCCAATTTGGTGGGCTCCACAGGATATGCCAGTAACTGGGCCACCCAGGGAAGCTCAGCATGGGCAGCCTGGCCCTCCTACCTGACTCCCTGGCCCCTGCTCTGCTGCACTATTATCTCCTCTGGCTTTGTTTACCCAGCCCAGAAAAGTGCCCCCTCTTCCTGCATCCTTAAAAACACCCCCTTGTCCTGGCTGTGCTCCCTCCCACCCCTCCCCTATTCCTTGGACCCCAGAGAGCAGCCCTCTGCAGCCCCTGCCCTCCACTCCAAGGTCAGCAATGGGCTCCCAATGACCAAATCCAGGGTAGACGCCTTTTCTCTCTGGCCTGTTCTGCTGATTTTGCCAGTGGCATCCTTCACCCCCGACCCTGGGACCCCCTTGCACTGGCTCTCCCGAAGCCACCCTCTACTCCTTCTTAGGCTTCTCTTCCCTCCTGGTGGACCCCTTGACCTTGGGCAACTTCAGATATCCTAGAACATCACTCCCATCCAGCCTCTCTTGGCTTGGTGGGTGGTGTGGGTCTCCAGCGATGGGCTGGCTGAGAACCCAGTCTGGGGAGGTCTCCTCAGTGAGGACACCTCTGGACAGAAACTTGGGGGTCATCAGAGATACCTCTGACCCTATCACACAAGCTGCCCATCCCACCTCTCATACATCCGTCTCATGGATTCTCTCTTCCCCCACCTCCACTGCCTGGGCTGGGTGCCCATCACCTCTGGCCTGGGTGAGAGCACGGCTTCCCTGTGCCTCTGGCCCCAGCTGCCCTCCCCATGGTTGCAGAAGCTGCTGTATACAAGTCTGGTTAGGGGCCCCATCACTGTCTGGATAAACTCCCTTGATGCTCCAGGCCCCAGTCCCCACCCAGAACAGGCATTTGCTCAGATCTTTATCATCAGGCTGTGTGCAGAGGTCCTGACCTGCTGCAGCCTCCCAGGCTTCGTGCCTCCTCCTAGCTTCTTGACCTCCAAGCCTCCTCTTTCACCACCCCTCCTCCCCCCCGCCCCTGGCTGGCACACTCATCCTATCTGCATCACCTTCTCCGGGAAGGGAAGTTGCCTGGGGCTTCTGACCTGTCCCTGACCAGCTGCGCTTCCTCTGAGTCCCCGCCCCCCCTTCCCCAGGGTGCCCCGCTGAGTGCTCTGGTCAGTAGCCACTCAAGGATTCCTCTCCTGGATCCACCGCGAGTTGGGCAAGCACTAGGCCCAGTCCTCCCTCGTGTCCCGTGCCAGCCCCGGGCTTGGCCCCGCGGGGTACCTCACCATAGCCGGCTGACTTGCTGTTCTCTGAGGCGAAGCAGGTGCCCTTGCCAGCGCGGCCGCCGGAAGGTGGCATGACGCAGAGCCCACCGGTGAGGGTGGCGGCCACCAGCGCCACGTTGATGCCATGCCACAGGAGCTTCCGATTACCCAGCTTGGAGTGGGCCTGGAACCTGTCTCCCTGGAGGGAAGGGGGTGGGGGCAGGGAGGGTCACGCTATCCAAGCTCAGGTGTTTCTCCCTGCTGTTCAGAGGGTGCGACCAAGGCCAAAGGCCCCTCTGGCCAGTCACACACACTCATGCACATGTGCCCAAGACCTGGGCCTGGGGGAGGCTGAGGAGTTGTTAAACCAACTCGCTGATAGGCACATAAGCCAAGGTCATCTCCGTAAGGGGCAGGTAGCGAGGGGAATGGGTTGGGGAGACCCTCCCTCGCCTCCCCTTCTCGGTTCACTTCCCAAACATGGTGAAGAGCCGGGCACCTGTAGCTGTGGCCAGTCTGTTCTAGGTAGGCGGGTATCACCTGCAGGAAAAACAGAAGCTGGCTGCCGAGGGTGAGAGACGTGTAGACAGAACCCCACTGCGGCCTCCAGTCCCAGAGCTCTGCTCAGGCCCTACCGACGCAGGGAGAGAAGGCCAAGGGCAGGCGATTCCTCTGCATGCCAGGAGGGCAGGTGGGCAGAGGGACAGTGCCTCCTGTCAGCCTGGTTCCTCTGCGGGACCGGCCCACCTTATACTCGGGCGCCTCTGGGTCCAGGCTGGAGCTGACACTTAAGGAGCCGGTAGTCTCGGTCCAGTGCGTGTGGCACCCCCTCCACCTTCTCCTCCTCGGGGGATGCCTGCAGGGTCTGGGCCAGCTCGATGTCGGCCAGCACCTACAGTGATGGGCATGGGCGGCTTGTGTGGCCGCTTGACTCCCAGCCTCCTCCTTTCCATATGACTGGGACCATGGCCACCCCACCTGTCTGTCCGCCTCTGCACCCCTACCCCATCCACTGGTCTGGCCTTCCCCTCCCCTGTCCTTCCGGCTACCCATTCCGTCCACCTCTCTGGGCCTTCTTGGCCATCTGTCCCCCATCTCCCTTGCCCCGTCTGTCCATCTGCCCGCTGCCTGCCCCCCTGCCGAACCTCACCAGCAGCATGTCCTTCTTGGCCTGCAGGAGCTCGGGGGATTTGATGGGCGGGGGCTGGTTGTGGCTGAAGTTGTGGGGAATGACAGTGTAGAAGTGGGAGGACAGTGCCTCCAGGCTGAGGCCACCGTCCGTGGGGGCTCTCAGCGCCACCTCCAGGGCCTCCAAAGCCTCGAAGCCCCGTGCAATCTGCTGCTTGCTCAGCTTCCCTAGGGGCATCTTCTTCACATCTGGGGAGGGGGATGGGGAGAGTGGGGGAGACTCAGCCCTGCAGCCCTGCACCCTGCCCCAGGGCCCCCACCACCCTGCCTGGCCCCTCTCCCCTCACCCAGGTTCATGAGGGTCATGGCATTCTTGAACATGTCCTTGCTGAAGATGTTGGTGATGAGCTTCCGTGTGGCTGCGTCCAGGGAGCAGGGCCACACGTGCTGTACCACGGCCCTCATGGGGTCTCCGTCCACCAAGGGGTAGAGGGCACGTGGGCGGGAGCAGCTGGGCATAGCCAGAGCAGAGCCTGGCCTTAGACAAAGATTGGCCAGATTGAGGCCAGAGAGGGGAGGCCCGTGCCTGAGGTCACACAGCTTGGTAGTGGCAGAAGCCAACTGGCTGGGTCTCTCCTTCCAGTCCCCTCCCTTGTCCCAGGCCCCACCACCCTCCGGGCCACGTCACCTTCACCACAGCTTCCTGGGCCTCGTTGTCTCCCTGCACTTCAATAAGCGTGTACTTGCCTGGGTGGGCCACAAAGTGGTCCCGCTCCACCCAGCTGTTCTTGGTCCTGTCCCGAAATTTCTTCTCAAAGTCCTTCTTTGCATCCTCCAGTAGCTTGAAGTAGCTGAACTTTGACTGGCCCACCTCTCCCTACAACCGACAGCCTTCAGGGGTGTGCCCGCCACCGGCCGGCTGTGAGCATTTGTGGGCCTCTGCTCTGCCAGGCCCTGTGCCAAGAGCCCCTGGGCAGTCAGAGGCAGAGAGGGGGTGCAGTCACCAGCCGAATAAGCTGTGGGGACCCTGGGGAGCAGGCCGCATGTGTTGAGCAGGGAGAGGTGGGGAGGAGGTAGGTACAGGGTGGGAAGGCGGTGGCACTTACCACACGGCCCCAGCGGTTCCAGCAGGCGAAGCGGTCACCCTCTTCCAGCAGCTGGATGATGTAGAACTTATTGTTGTTGCTTCTGATGTTGGTCTGGTTCAGGGTGCATGCATAGTCTTCATGCACCTAGGGCCAGAGGGGGCGTGGGGAGGGCAGGCCCGCTTGGGCTGCCCTTGGGGGGGACAGAGTACCCGCCTGCACACGGACAGCGGTCTGATGCGGACAGGACTCACGCTGTACTGGGGGCATCAGAGGAGGCTCTGTCAGGGAAGGCTTGAGGAGGTCATGGTTCTGCCCTGCGGGACACAATCTGAGGGGACATGACTCAACTCAGGCAGTTGGGGGAAGTTCTGGAAGGACATGGCTGTGCCCTGTGTCAGGGAATCAGAGGGAGACATTCATTCTGCCCTGGGGATCTCACAGGGACACAACCCTGCCATGCAAGGGATCTCAGGGGGACATGGCCCTGTGGGGCTGCTTTAGGGGATATAGGTGAGCCCTGGGGAGGCTGAGGGGGTCAAAGTCTTGCCCTAAGTGTGGCAGGGGGAGGCCTGAGAAGCTCAGGGGCTTGCCCTGGGGTCTGAAGAGCAGACATGACCTGCCTGGATCTGATGGGATACAACCCTACCTGACCTTTGGGGTCTTGGGGGGACATAGCTTCCTTGGGACTCTGAGCTACCTGTCCAGAGCCAAGCCCTGGTGAGGTAGGGAGCAGGTCTGAGTGTATTTGTTTGTTTGTTTAAATATTTTGTTTATTTATTTGACAGAGAGAGGCACAGTGAGAGAGGGAACACAAGCAGGGGGAGTGGGGGAGGGAGAAGCAGGCTTCCTGAGGAGCAGGGAGCCCGATGTGGGGCTCGATCCCAGGACCCTGGGATTATGACCTGAGCCAAAGGCAGACGCTTAACGACTGAGCCACCCAGGCGT